AATCATCGTTTTAGACTATAAACCGACCGCACTAAGTCAACGTTACGCGGAAAGTACAGAAGGTGTGTGCGGAGGCTGTTCATTATCGCTCCGTACTTAATAGCCCATAGAGAGAAACAGATGCTTTGAGTTACCGACCAACAACTGCAAATTATAAACCGTAATCAGACCTGTATTTATTATACTTAACACAGGTTAATCGGTTCTTCCGTAAATTCTCTAAAGATTACGATTTATATTTTCCATATACTCAATAACAAAATTTATATTAACAATGAGCAACAATTTAATGATAATAATAAAAGCAATAAAGTTCTAAATGATTTAATGTTTTATTTTACAACATCGCAAATAAGCTTATTTACACAACATGGTGTTAGATGTGATTAACTGAAAGCTAATTGTTGGCTAAAACTGGATTTGGAATTAGAGCTAACAATAATACCAACAAAGCACATAAACAAACAGATTGCCAATTTGCGATGGATTAAATTAATGCTATGCAAATTATTAGGCTCAGGTTGAAGGATGCAGAAAAATTTGAAGCAATTCAAGACTGACCGAAACCTATAAACAAATTTAATTATTAAGTAAATTGTTGTAAAATGAACAAAGATGGATTTAGGGGAAGAATTGGGAGGGCTAATTTGAAACTCTGGAAAATAAAGTAGCTAAGATTAACAAATCAATTAGCGTCATTAGCAGCTTAAGTGGGGTGCCTAACACCACTTATCATAGTATTTCAAAGAAACCAAAGAAAGAGAAAACCCTTTTGGTTTATATTAAAATAGTAATAATCGAAGTAACAAACCTCTTCCTTGTTAATTGGCGAAGGAAAACCATTAATGGGGATGTCTACCACAACATGTTTGATTTTACTTTTCTACTTTTATACCCTTCCATGACATGAGGGTCCACTATTACACGTACATCAAGAACGCTGTCTGATCATATTAAAACGACATCAAGCATCTTACCCATGTCATTATAGTTTACTTGACTAAGATTATTGCAATTCAAATTTTAGTAATCATACAATTATAGACTTGGGTTCTTAAATGAACTTGAGTTCTTTCAAGAATTTCAGTTGGAACAGCTCATAATTTAACAATAAGTCTTAAACGATCCTGAATGTGCAAAAGAACTCAAAGTTCAATTCTGAAAGGTGACAAGCTTATTTGAATTCCTAATCAAGAGTTCTTAGTTACTATATTAATAATTTGTAATTCCCGAATACAAAATCACACCTGATAATCAGAACTATTCTTATGAGTTCTATAATTTTAGATTAAGTTTTACAGTTTTTGAGTTTTTGCTCCTGAACGAATTTCATTTAAGACCTGAACTCTTGAAAAAAATAGTAAGTAGGGATCGTATCCGCACTGGTGCTGATTAACAAACATACAGATAGAGATTATTTCAATTATCTATTGAAAATGAGATCATCTTAGTAACCTTTACCAAAACGGAGCAATTGGAAGAAGAACTAAACACTTTTGCCAAACTTAATGTGAAAAAAATCACCTGGATTTATCCTAGTAAAAAATTCTGAAAAGATTTCAAGGGAAGACTCTGGGCTACTAACTAACTACATTGATTAATATTTATCTACAGTTAGTCTATGTTTCGGAAATCTATGGAAATCGGAGTAAATCATAATGATTCCAAAACATAGGAAAACCCCATACGAATGGGGCTCATATTGACCAATATTTCACTATTACTAATTATGTCAAAGTTGTTTGACAAATTGATCTTGGAGCGCCTCAAACATATTCTCTATCAAAGAAACCTGATACCATTTTATAAATTTGGGTTTAGAAATAATCACTCGACGATCCCCCTAGTATATCAAATTACTGATGTCATAGAAAAACACTTAAAAACAAAAATGTTTTTTAATGTTGCACACGCACTTGATAGAATATGTCATAAAACTCTACTCCATAAACTTATATTATTTCTTTCTGTTCATATTTATCAACTGCTAAAATCTTACCTGCCTAACAGCCACTTTCGCGTGAAGAACAGCTCGGAGAACAACAACATGAAGAATCTTACTCGGTATGGAAGCTGATTACGGCATCAATCAGCTTCCAGATTAAGGCTGGAGTACCACTGCCGTGGAAAGCTCAACCAGAAAACTTTACTTTGGTCTCAATAAAGTTGTCATTTGGATAAAGAAGTGATGCTTTAAACTCAACAAATCGAAATCGACTTCACAAATAAGATGATAGTACAAAAACCAATCCACATTATTGGCATGTATTTTACAAATTCCAAGTAGTTGTTGACGCAATGTGTTTTGCTGCTGCACACTGCTCTGAAATTTGTCAGAAAAATACTGCAAATAGCTATAGGTATGTACTTTTCAATGTAGGCCGTATTACCCATTTTGAAAATTAATATCACTTTGGCAACTGTAAAATATGACGGGACCCTCAATAATCGACAGATTCAAAATAAGTGCGAGAAGTTTCGCAACAATAGTGAGAATTTTATTTATTTTTTCGTTGCCAACATTCAACATTATAATAATAATATAATAAAAGATCAATAAATGCATATTTCTTAGCTTGTCCACAGCCTTAACCACATCAGGTGTTATTTGTTTCATTATAACCTGTTTTATTTCATTAGTTGTAAACTTGCAGATAGGAAGTAACATATCTATGGAGCTAGTTATGAAGATGCCTTAACTACCTCCTTAGACGTGCTACTTCCTATGGAACTGCCTTTGTCATTTCTGACCCAGAAGTTATCTTCATCTTCAATAGGTAGATGTGTCTCTGCGTTATTTTTAGTCTTCTGGTTTACATTTTTCTATATTGATTATTTTAATAATGTAAAATTCAATAACAGCATTCTTTGAATCATACTTCTTGGAATTCTTCTTCAATCATACGGACAGTATGTTGGTTCGTCAGTAAATATTTGCTATTACCTATATATTATTTGCCAAAATATTTTCCAAACCGCATATTTGGTGTTTAGCGTTATAATTGCCTCCAGCAAATTACTTCGTAACCAATATGTTGAAAAATAATATATAGTGTTTCTTGTCGTTGTTATGTTTCAGTGCACAGTATACAGCTGACATTGTTATTAGCCCCTGTTTATCATCAATAATAACATTTGTGGCGTACAGATATTTTTTGGTGAATTCCTCTTCTTCATGATATTTAATACTGTCTCGAATGATTATCGCTGTTTCACCACATGCTTTATTACTGAAATGCTTTGTATGACTGAGTTCGTATTTTGAAATTCTGAAGAAGATTCTGTAAACATTTCATTAAGCAAAAAAGCATTAAGAAATGCTTTGAGTTTTCTAGAGTGTTGTTGGAGGCCAGATTGGCGTTCCAGATCGCTATCTTATATTTGGGTTGTATTGTTATTAAGCTCGTTTAGTGACAACGATTGTAATTAGGTTTCACATTTCTTCCGTAATTAACACATTTAAGTTGGTTGTCTCTTGAATCGCGAGTGCAATATTTTGGACCATATTTTCCTACAACTTTACGTATTTAAATATTTTATGGTAGTAAGATTTGGTGTAGTCCTATGTTTGGCGTCTATGTTTGGCGTTTGCGTTACGGTATAATTACTTTGATATGTAGTGGTTCGCATTTAATGATGTTGTCTCCAAGGTTTTCGATATTGTATCTTTGTGATTTTGTGTTTTATATTATACATGTTTACTGTTTCGTCAGCAAGGTCTACTAACAAAGCTGATTTTATTTCATCACTTTTCGTTCCCTGATGGAGTCCTCCTACTACAAATCGGAGGTGTGTTCTTATTTGATTTATTTCTTTCGAATCGGATGTTCGTTACTAATGGTTTTTGCAGCCATTATTCACTGAGCTTTGATTGAACTTTCTACCGTTCACCATCTTCAAGGCTTCTTAATCGTTTTGTTGTGATAGATAGTTGTCCATTTATGCTGAAATTGTTAGGGAAGCGCTGTGGATTAATTATTACTGTAATTATTACTGCTAACAACAACTCTATGAAGATTTTTGTCACTGGATGTCTTCAGTTATAAATTATAAAAAAAGATATATATAAATTGCCAATAAGAAGGAATAATATTTGAAATAACAAAACACCTTCCAATGTTTGACAAATACACACAGTAATATCGATTTTATATCCCAGATATCCACTTTAAAAATGTATCGTCACATCAAAAAAAAAAGGAAACCGGGTGCCTCCTAAGGGCCTAATAAGAAAGTGGCGGACGATAGGACGAACCGCGTTTTAGGTCCGGAAGTAGGATATTAAAGGGTCGAGGAACAGCTGGACCTTATGTCAAGTTAAAAAAAGCAATAACGCTTCGACCGGAACACGCACCATGCCATCGCAAACATTTCCGGTCCAACGGTCACGTAGAAGAATAAAAAAGGGGCATCGTGCCGATGATGCCCGGTATTTTCTTTTGCTGCTTTAATTTTCATTATCTTAAGTACGCGTTTATGAGTAAGAATTTAATTAAACGGCTTGGCTTGGAGTGCCGTCGGAGATTCTAGTCTAGAGACGGTCGCGACCCAAAGGTACTAGTGTTTGATGTTAACGATGATTGCTTAACGAAGCGTGAGGAACAGAGGCAACGGGAATGGAAGAGGGAAAAGGTAGAAATTCATAAAGCGAATTTTTATTTAGTTTTATAAAAAAAGAACGTTATAAAAATATAACAAAAAAGATAGGTGAATTTAATTAATTGAGTTTTTACCGAGCGATTTCAGCTGGTTCCGGATAATTATTATTTGTTGATTACTCAATCTATCTAAATTAACCCAACTCAAACAAACCAAATCCAGATTTAACTAGATACTTAATTCTTTTTAAAACACGTAATTTTATATAGTGGAATATATCAGATTGCGTCACATTTTCTTATTATTCATTCTCTCTTGGCAATTAACCACTCATTACATTGACGTAGAAATCACGTAAGAATCACTTTTTAACGTCATTGCAAACCGCAAACTTGTACTCCACTTGAAAACAAAATAAAAAAAGTCACAAATAGATTAGATCGAAAATGATAACTGTTTATCTCTCGGCTGGAGAGAATTAAGGTGGGGCTAGGTAACGATAAATGATAATTTTAACTATTCCATCTATTTTTAGTCATCCAGCTCTGTCCCCAACAAGTCAGTCTGGCAAAATGTGTGAACCAGCTCGGTTATTTCTACCTTTAGAAACGTTAGAAAAATTAGTGTGTTCTGAATGCAAAGGGTATTTACGTTCCGGTCCAATTAAAGTCCGATTAGATGGTGAGAGTGTATGCGGAAAATGTTCTGTAAATCCAAAACATTCGGCGCCGTTAATTCACCACAAAGCATTCGAGGAAATTATTCAACTAATTAGTTTTCCATGTAAATATTACAAGTTTGGATGTCCTGAATACATTTTATACGATGACAACACAAAACACGAAGATTCCTGTGCGTTTCGAATCTATTATTGCCCCGGAGATCGATTGGGTTGTTATTGGAAAGGAACAAGTGTTCAATTATTGGAACATTACCGAGAAAAACATTTGGAACTGTTCGCTACAACAACAACTTTTGAAATAGATTTAACCGAAGATATTGAAGAATCTAAACTTTACACGCAAGATAACGTAAGTTTTCTTATTAAATTCAAAGTTTCTAAAGAAGATGGAAAATTTTGGATCATTATTGAACATCTTGGGCATATTGAAGAGACGACTCCGGTTACTTACAAAATAACGTTACATACTTCAGAAGAAAATGGATTAAAAATGGTTATGAAAGAGAGAAAAACTTCCTACGCGCCGCGTTATACAGTTTTTGATGTTAAAAATTTCCAAGTTGTTGACATTAATTCGCTTTTAACTATATTAGAAAACCCGGAAAATATTTACTGCTCAATAGAACTAAAAATACCTCCTCAACTCATTCAAGATATCGAATCTAAGTTGCAAGCAATTAAATGTCCTCATTGTTTAAAATATATGACACCACCAATATACATTTGCCAAGAGAGTCACAATTCCTGCGAAGATTGTGTTGGGTATAATAAAAAATGTAAAAGTTGCAACAAAGAGAATACTTATTTCACTCGACATCAATCTCTCGAGGTCACATCAGCAAGTTCTCAATTACCGTGTAGATGGACATCGTGTAAATTTGTTGGAGATTTCACCAATATTCGAAAACACGAAAAAACTTGCCATCAGCGTCGATATAAATGTCCCCGTTGTTACAATTGGCATGGTTCCTACGAGCAAATAACCGAACATTTCGAAAAAGAACACGAAACCCATCCACTTCTGTTAACAAAAAAAGTATCAATTGCAAGAACAACTAGAGTGTACGATTTTTATCTTTTAGTATTTGGCGATATTTTTGGGTGTTCCGTATTTTCAACTGACGAAAACGAAAAGAACTTTTCCCTTTGGTATTATGGCTTACCAACATTTTACGATAAATACGAGTATCGTATTCATCTAGCAGATAAAAACGAGGAAGATGATTCACAACCGGAAATTATTAAAACATATAAATTACAAAAGTGTTGCGCTACCGAAAATTGCTTTTCATTTAATTTAAAAATTCCTAATGAAGATATGACAAAACACGATTACCCAGAAAGTTTGTATTTCATTTTTGAAATAGTCGAACGAATTTAATGGTTGTTCTTGAATGTAGTATTGTTTCATTCCACTTAGAAATAAAGTACACCTAAGTAGTTATTTTTAAACACTTTATTTTGAGTGTAGATATCGGTATTAGAAAATATGTGATAGAGATAAGATGTGATTTATACAATGACAAGAATGATTTATCTGTTATTGTATAATTTTTGGTATCAGTTGGTTAATAATACATACTTTATATTTTAATGCGTTTATTTATTTTTTTTTTATTAAATATTTTTAAGCAACTTTATAACCCTTTCAATTCATCCAAATAAAAATTAATTATTAAAATAATAAACTTTGAGGAATATCTTAATAAATAATGTCACAGACAACTCTTAATTCTATTAAAACTTAAAAAAGAAGTGGTTCAGTGTTCGGAACGAGAAAGAAATAGCGTGAGACCTTCAACCTGGTACCTTCAACTCTTCAACACTTGAGTTGGCACGACGTAGAATTCTTAACTCATTCCCACTTCCGGTGAACCCATTCCCAGGACACATTGTGCAGGGGATTTGTCTTCTTCAAAACGCAAGTGCACGGTACGCTTTGGCATTGTCCCAGCAGCGTAACAAAAAGAAAAAAAAAGAAACGGGAGACACGTAACCGTAATTAAACCTGAAATAAAATTTATTTAATTGCATTGTAGCAGCGTTGCTCTGTACTAGTTATTTGAAAACAACTTCTACGTTAACTGCGAATTGAGGCGTTTTAATGAAGGAAAAAAATCAATTTATCTCCATTTCCCGATAGATACGGAGACAATTGTTATTTTCTCGAATTGTTTTAAACGGGATAATTAAAGAGAATAAGATGAGATTGTTCTTTAACTTTATTAGCAGTTATCGCGTTCTTTTCTAGATGATTAGATTTGTGAAAAAAAAAGCGAAATCCTCTCCGAACGAAGGCGGAATCTTCTTTTCAAGAAAACTCCTTTCCTCGTTCGGACAGGAAATATCGACCATCCAGCAGGGTTCTAATTTCCGCTTTTCATTTCCCCAGTTAAATAATACAACACCAACATCCACAGGATAAAAGAAATCGACATCAAGAAAGATCTGAAAATGATCTCTTTTGATTTCCAAGATAAGTATATTACTGAAAGTACATCAAGTGGAAAAGGTATTATTATATAACGAATTATTTTAACTTGATAAACCAATTACCTAATGTTGATAACTACACAAGTATTGGAAAACCTTTTAGTTATATTAATCCATTTTGCAGTGCTATGTAGATTATGTTAATGGTTCGCTTTGAAGTTGAAACGACACACGAATGTTTATTACGCAAACAAGGTTTAGATTTAATGAATTGCCTATGGGTAGGATTTCAAACAAACACACATTTCCGTACCTCTGCGTATCAAAAACTGAACGATTAAATAAAGAAGAAAATTAATTAATTTTGTTGTGAACATGAATTACTATTTTCGAAAAATATTTGTAATTTAAATTAGTTAATTAGGAAATTATGAATTTCAATAACTTTTGTGTTTTCAAATTATAATAGGGCCGTTAACGTCAATCGATTAGAAAGACCGTCTTTCAAAAAATCGATAATGTAAATTAAATTAGACGGATTAGTAACGTTTTCACGTTCGAAAATTGTTTAATTTTTGCAATAATTAATGTAAAAGTTTAAAATTCCCCACCCCTGATTCATTGTGACGTTTTAAGTAAGAAGAAAGAAATCACAGACGTGATTTCTCTCCCGTTTTCTTCTAGCGCATAAGATTCGTAGCATTGTCTCTCTCTAGGAATTTTATTGATTTTTATACGCTCCAATCATACGCTCAAATCTGAGTGACGCGCTACTGAATTCGCGGCCTGTAATTTCAAACTTTATTATTTTTTTTTGGAAAAACTAAGCCTCAGAATCAAAAATTAAAAAATATGGGGTCAATCAATTTTAAAAAACTTTCGAATGAGCCAATAAAAAAAAAATAGGTAACGGCCCTATTAGATGAGCTTCATTTACCATACTAACTGGATCGAAGGCAACTGTTAGAATACAAGGAGAGCATTATCTCCCGTAATATATAAACTAGTTTTAGAATGTACTCTTCTTATTTTTCCACTTCTTCTCGAAGCCTCTTCTTCGTCAATGATGCCTCTATTCTGTGCGCAAATTGTCGCTCCATCTTTTTCTTGGTCGTCCTAGACTTCGTTTACCTAGAGGCAATTTATCCCTGGCCCTGTTCCCTAGTCTGTCTTGTCCTTTCTTCCGTTTACGTGTCCAATAGTTGATATTTTCTACTCCACATAATATTCTTAGTCTTCATTTCTTTCTCTATCGTATGGAGTTTTATCGGTGATTCTACGAAGTACCTTCATTTTTGCTGTTTCCAATAACCGTTTTGTTTTAGACATGCCAGTTCTAGTCTCAGACGTGTAGGTCATGATCGGTGTTATGGTGCTCTTATATATTCTCGATTTTGTGTTAACATGTAGATAATGCCTCTATTCTGTGCGCAAATTGTCGCTCCATCTTTTTCTTGGTCGTCCTAGACTTCGTTTACCTAGAGGCAATTTATCCTCCATAATATATCAGATGTTTCTCCTCCATAATATATCGTTTGAGCAGCCTGCGATTTTACTGGCTTTCCTGACTTGTTGGAATACTTCCTCTTCAATATTACCGTAACTTAATAGTTCAACTCCAAAGTACCTGAATGTCATGACCTGCTCCATTATGTGCTGGTTCACTTCTCTGTAGATAATTTTTGATCACCCATTTTGTAGCGCCTGCCCGTGTTGACTTTTTTTAATGATTTCATCACAAGATTGCGTGGTAGTGGACTTAATGAATCCCCTTGTCGAATGTCAGTATTTACAGGTATTTCCTTAGTGAGTTTTCCATTTGTCCGTGCTTGTATGCTGTTTTCCGAATAGATGTTTTCGATAGTTTTAACTATATTTGTCGGTAGTCCGTGGTTATATAGCAGATTTATGACATCCTTTAATCTGTTCTTATCAAAGGCCTTTTGTAAATCAATGAAACATAAGAATGCGGGTTTATTATATTCTGTTGACTTTTCTACAACTTGTCTCATCATGAATACAGCACCTGTACAGGACCTTCCTGTCGTAAAGCCTTATTGTTCTTCGGCCAGTCTTGTAACGAAATTGATTTTGGTTATGATAATTTTGATTACTAGTTTGAGCATGGTGCTAAATAGGTTTATGCCTCTGTAGTTGTTTGGTTTTTTCTTATCTCCTTTTTTGAACATTAGAATCATTGTGCTTGTTTTCCATGCGTTTGGTATTTCTTGCTCAGTTAAGATTTTCCTTATCAGCGATGTTATTTCCGTTATTAAACTGTCTCCTCCATATTTTAGTAGCTCATTTGGGTTCTTGTCTTGACCTGGTGATTTTCGGTTTTTAAGTTTTCTTAGCGTTTCTCTAACATTTTCTAGTAATATTGTAATGTCGTCGTTTATTGTGATGTTATTAGGTTTATCTGCCTGTATGTTGTCAGCTTTAAACACTTCTATTAGATACTCTAGTAAAATACTCTTTTCTCTGTTATTTGACCAGTCTCCACATTGGCTTCTGTAGGCCGTAAAAATCTGATTCGAGTCTTCTGGAGAAAGCTTCCCAGTGTTCGTATTTGTTTTCTTTACTAATTCATTTATTTGGTTCCTAATCTTTTTGTATCTTTCAAGTGAAACTCAAGGGAAAAATGTACTCATATAATAAGTCACAATACTACGAAGAAAAAACCTACATCTCCTCAACATGGGAAATTAGTCATTTGAACGAAGCTTCCTATATTTGGGATCATGGCTCAACGTAATAGATAATGTCATTGATGATATCGAGGCTAGTTACCTGCATTAAGTACTAGTTAGATCCTCTGATGAATGCAATGAAGTAAAACTTTGCTTCGCCATCTTACTCAATTTAAAAATGCCAAACCGTAATTTATCTGTCTTTTTTACGACGTAAACATGGTTTTAAATACTTAAAAACATGTTTATTTTATTTAAACTTCATTACAAGAGTGTGTACAGAATCTAATATTAACTACGATTAATACCAGACTAAAAGCTAAACTTCTCGAGCATGTAATTTTATCTCTCACGATAACAAAGAATCCGCTGATTATTTAATTTATTTTTTCTTTGTTCTCGTATTATAACTGTTCTATGAACTTTGTCGCTTACATGCATCCTAAGTTCAATTTTATATATCAGATGAAGGTATTTACTAATGGTCTTGAACCTATTGTTTTTGTATAACATGAAATCGGACCGTCATAACAATGTCAAGAGAACTCTTTAGAGAGTGTGATTTCTATCTTCTATTCTTCATTTTTGTCCAATGTAAGCATTATCCAGTGTATTATTGAAAAAAAAGGAGATTTGTAGCTTGAGGAATTATCATGGTCTCAATAAAATCGACTGTGGCAATACAAAATTTTTTTGGACCTTTGTTTTCCTCTTTCCGTGTATGTATAGAGGAATATATACCAGGAATATTGAAAACAAAATAACACAATTTTCTGAAATATAACATTTTTTGCACTGGAGAAAAGGCAGGGATAAGTTTTGCATATAATCAAATACATCAACAAATACAATCCTTCACATCATCTCTGTGTTTAGAGATTGCTGTTATTTCTCCAACTTTGTCAAAAAATTTTTTATTCCATCTCTTGTGTACAAGTAGTTATGCCACTGCTACCCTTTTTGCTGTTTCATTGAGCATAGTGGACTTAGAGCACACATCCATTAGTGGCTTTCCAAACTTGTATCTAAAGTTTTCTCTGTAATATTTTATGTACAATGTGTCGGTAAATAAAGAATTTCTGGTCGTTGAGAAAATTCCATTCCATTCTCACTATCTTAGAGTAGTTATTCTGGTAGAGACTGGTAGAGTAATGAAGGTAGTAGGGGTTCGTATTCTTTCGATACACTTCCTGCATGATATTATCCTTTGTTGATCCTGGTTACTGATACGTTAAGAATTAGTCAGCACTGCAACAATGTACCTGTATGTTTGTAAATTTATTTATTTCGACAGTCGCATCTTCGAATGGATCCATATCTAATTATAGTTCTGGAACGCGTCTCGGCAATCGCTCGAGAAAGCGTTTTCGTTGTAGACCATCCACCACTGTTGTAAAAATTTATTTCGCTGCCTAATATTTCCTATGGTTATTAACATTGCCAATTAATTCCACACAGTGTGTTAAATCATATGAGTTAGAGTAAAACTCGTGAGTTTGAGTTTCTTGTAAAAGGCGACAATACAAGGCCTAGAAATTTAGCATAGTGGTATATAGGTGAATTACTTAAGCTCGGGCGCAGTGGATTTTTGGTCAATCACAGATCCTAAGTACTTGTACAAACAGGCTTTGCGCATTCTGTGGTGCGCATAGCCGTCGAGTTAATTAGCTCTTTCATTTTCCTAAGTATTTTATCACAGGGATTAGTATTTAATCTCTGTGGGTGTCTGCATTCAGTAGGGTTCATAATCTCATCGTAGTTCATCACCATGGTGGCTTTATTTAATAGCCATTGATTTCATTAGCAACGGAATTTCTGGAGCTGTCGTTCTCTCTTCAAGATGGTTATCCTATCCACTATGTCCATGTCCTACCTGCCTATGGATTATACTTGAGTATTTTTTATTGTCTGTCAACGTCAAAACAGTGGTGAAAGTTAACATTTTTATCGTGGTAAAGTTCGCGAACTATCGAACTGCATAGTGGTCATATGAACTACTATATAGAATGCCATAGTTAAGATGTAAGATGTTTATTGCACCTGATATTTGGTTATCGCCATTTGTATTACGAATAGCTTGATCTTAATATACAATATATGTTATATATTCCAATTATATCGTTTTAAAAGTTGAAATAAATCTGCTTTTGGATAATCAAAATAATTATAAAGTTTGGTCATTAATCATAAAGTGAAAAGTATCGAAAAAAATTAAATAAAATAACGATAATATATAAAAGTTTTTGCAAGAGTGAACTTAGTATTATAATTTAGTGTTCTCTGTTCTTTTTCTTCTCATTATTAATTAGATACAATCCCCCTCGTAGTCGACTCGAAGGAGTTCCCAGCCCCACCACTTACTTCCTTCGAGGGGCACCATATGTATGGCAGGTGGATTTTCATTCTACACCTGTATTATAAGAAATTCGTTTTATCAGTTTGAATTTACGCGCGTACGGTGACACTTCAAACGAAGACACCTGTCAATATGACGGTTAAAATGACATTTCAGTGTCAGTGTTGATAATAATTAATATTGTTGATGTTCTTCGACGCATAGGTATTTGTGTGATTAAGTGCTGCACAGTTTAGTGTGTTTCGATATGGATACGTTTAGGGAAATAATTTTATTATTATTGATGGGGATGATATTATGCGAAGGTAATAATATTAAACTATAAAGATTTACTAAAATAATTTTAACAATAACCTCAATTAATTTGGTATTGTATCGTTTTAAATTATAATTTTATTTGAAACGTTAACAAAATATGCAAATATAATGTAACTCTTTTCGTATAAACATTTTGGTGATTATGCTCTATGAATTTAAACAATAGATCCGTAAATCAGCTCTAAAATTTGCTGTAGTGGATGCATAACTAACAAATCCAATCATTGTTCTATAAGAATGATATATTCCATTTAAAATTGCATGCGAAAATTATTAATTCATCGTTATCCCGATTCGGCTTTGTATATCACGAGCGGAAATTAGTTATTTTAAAATTGCATTGCATCTCTAAATCGTGTATGGAATTTTTAAAACCAATTCTATTCTTTTGGGTTCATCAAAACATAACAATTCCAATAATTTCTATTCCACAAAAAAATTGTTTTTGCTCGGTCAATTATACCACTCAAATATCCACAATGTTCGCGTTGTGAAATTAAGTCATGCCCTACATAAAGGAGTTCCTTAAATTAGTTATCCCGTAATAAACGTTGTCATCGCAAAATTAATCCGGTCTGTGTCCAAGTCACCACCCTAACATTCCATATTGTTTGTGTTGTTAGCTTAAGGCGATGTCGACGTCGACATCCTAGTCTCAGAGGTCGTCGTTTCATCGTGCCCTTTCAGTACTAATACGTTATTTAGCCGTTTGAGGTAAAACGCATCGGTAATGAACCGTGTGTTCTTGTGGTTGAATCCTTCCGGACTCACTGCAAAGGATGTTTGCAGGTCATTGAGCATTATACGCGGCATCGATGCATTTTTCATTGTCCCGCTACGAAATTGTCGTTTAAAATAAGTATTGATTGTCGATTCGCCTTAATACACTTTCGAATAACCCTAAAATTCCTTTAGCTTAGAATTTCCTCTCTTCGGTATAGTGTAGAAGCAGTTAAGCGTCCTTTCGATTTGAAGCGAATTTTCTCACGGTTAAACGTATTCCGGTGCTTACTAAGCGGAGTCTCTATTGTTCTAGCAGCGACCGAGGAGAGTGAAATAAAGGCCTTCGTGGGATCGACTGTGGCGCTACCGTGTCGTTTGGATACGTCGGTATGTGGAAACCTGCACAGCGTCAAATTCTATAGGGAAACCTCGAGGATATACGTGTACAGTCAAGTGGGAGGAGTTGCAAGGGCGGAAGGAGATGCCACGCAAAGGTAAGTGAAAATTTCGACTTAAAAAGACACGATCAATTGAAAGTTACTTTTGATGTAATGGACGAGTTTTTCCTAGAAACTTTCTTTGTATACAAAATATAAAAGGAATGACTATAGACAGGAGATAACGACCACGATGCATTCTCGGTGGATATCGAACAGAATTTCACCCGATTTACGGGGAGATATTAAAGGGTGGTTCGCTACAGAAATCCTCCCTCTCCCAAATCGCTTCATGAGGAAATCTTTATTAAATTTCCGTCGGGCGGGGTTTTGTTCGGAAGCGGTATACGTCGAGATTTCTATCGTGCATTGTCACTTAGTGAACTTGTTTTTCTCTCGTAGTAAGTCTTTCGTTTGCCATTATCATGTTAGATTGCCGCTCGTTTCTCAAATTCTATTTACAATTTTATTTATAATCTGTTAAAAAAAAATGTGATTTAACTCTTGTAATACCATGGGGTTGTAATACTTGTGACCCGAACGTATTTAAAAAAAAATTAGACTCAGAGTCTAGCAACAGTGATCAATATCACATTGTAGCATAGCAAACAGCAAACAAGTGATATTGTGTGCCTAGTAAATTCTTTTAAATATGACGTAAAAAACGGATCTTTTGTCATGTGTTGACGAAATAGGTGGAGCAGAGAAGTTGGAATTGCGCTGCAAATCATCTGAACCCAGGAGTAATCAACCTGAATAGAGCTGTATGTAGCTGACTTTACATAAACTACTTTGCATTCTTTGCACAGTTGTACAAAACGCAGGTATGAAGTCAAACCTACAGGCATCATATCATAGGAAGCGAAAGCCCTAATGAGATGTGGAAACACCTGAGCTGGAACAACAGTTCTTTGAGTATTCATATAGATAAGACAAATCTCATTAGTCATCTTCACAATCTGCTCAACGACATAATGCAGTATGTGAAATTGAACAAGATGAAACACGACTTGTCGATTTCGCATTAATGACGCTAAATCAAAAGGGCTATCGACGAATGAAGTCAAACATGTATGTGCAGAAGCATGTAATACGGTCGCGTTCGTCTATCTTGCGATGGAACAACGCCAATCAAACTATAGTATCAAAAAGATGATTTTGATGTCAACTGTCTTAAAGTTTTAAATTCTGAAATTTAGTATTTAGTGTCCGAGTGTTTCCAAGAGAAAACTTAGTTGCTAAAGGCGTGTGTGATGTGATTCGATGTCTTTCGAATACCGTATTTGTATAAGTGAGTGAGCGAAATAAAGTGCCCGAAAATTCTGAATCTCAAAAACAGCTAATGAACTAAGTTGTGTATCCCACGAGCAATAAGTGATTCCATTCGAAATCCACAAACGTGGGTACCATGGTCGTAAACAAGACCAGAACAAAAGCTTTCGCATAAAAAAACGTATAACACGTGTGAAATATGCTAAAAAACCATTTCGAAAGGCAATGATTTTTGAAAATCAACAATTTTTATTGATTGTTATAGGTTTGAATATTTTCATTTCTTCTTTTTCTTTTTTAACATGAACCTTCCACCTCAGCGTGGTGTCAAGTGTCATGCCTAAGTATTTTGCACTGTTTTTGTACAGAACTATTATTCTGTTGCTAGTCAAAGGTGGAGCGTTAAGTAGCTTTTTGTTTGTAAAATTTATATGGATCGATTTTGATTGATTCAATTTTATATTTCGATGATCATCTTTTGGCTGTCTGTCATGTTTTGGCTATATCATCTGCGAATATAGCAGTGTTATCTGTTATCTGGAGTAGTTATGGTCTATCGCTGGTCTAAAGGACATACAGTAGCAATCCAAGGCCACCTCCCTGAGCTACTCCAGCTTGTTTTAAATCTGAAGGTTATGTACAATGTTTAGATTTCTATATATTGTTTTGGCAAGATTTTGTTCAACTTGGAAATCAAAAGCTTAGCTACACATAGGAACAGTTCAGAACATAGTTATTTTTCTTTTAATGATCTCTCGATGACGCTTGTAATACGACGTCCATAGAGGCATGTTAATGTGTTTGTACAAGTATACTTTGTATTATATTGATTGGATGAAGTTTTGTACAACCAATATAGTTTTGTTAAATTTGATGACTTCCTTTTCTACTTAATATGCGCTTCCCAGCGCAATTTACTGTCTAGTGTTATACCTTAACATTCTGTTGTATGGACATATGGTAGATACATGGATACTGCTTATTCTGACTGGAATATTTTGGAGCTTTTTCCGGATTAATGTTGTCTTGAATATTTGTTACTATTTCTTTTGGACTAACGAATTTGATTTCACTTTCCTCTTGCGTAAGATTCTACGAGCCAAGAATAACCTCACCCTGATTCAGCGTATCTGTTGGCTTTCGAGTATTAGTTTTTACCGTCTATGCTGTCGATGAGCATCGGTAAGATGGAGAATGGTTAGAATTCATATCCCAATGTTCTTCTACCTGCATGTAGTTAATTGACACGTTTCGGTTTACGAAGAAATCAGTTAGATCTGGCATTTTATTGGGATCTATAGGCCAATTTGTTGACTTATGCGATGATAATGTGTATGGTTTACAGCTTAGTTGATTGACTGCTCGAAGAAATTTTTTATTGGACGTGTTTAGCATTGAAATCAGCACTTATGATGAATCTATATCCACGTTTATTAAGAAAGTCTAACTATAGTTCTTCTTTTGGATCATGTTCCTTTGAATTTTATAGATGGTTCAGTAGCAAAGCGTGTATTAATAAGGCATACATCAATATAGTCTATGTCTAGGATAGCTTACAACTCTTTTCATATGATTTCATCAATAATTCGAAAGATACCTGAAATTTCTTTCATCCTACAGTAGGCCCACATCTCGAAGGCTTCCAATTTCCGCTCACACCAACTCTCTACACCATACAAAAGGACCGGGAAATCATAACATTTGAGCATCCGAGTTCTCTTCCAGCTTCTTGTAGATCATACGATGGATAACTTATCGTACTGTGTTCTTCACATTTTTTAGCGTTCTAAACTTCACAATAGCTCCTTTAGCACAATATTAAAGTGTACTAACATGTTCATCCATATTCGTTAATTTCTCCATTATTTGTTGAAGAGAGTTTTGGAAGGAGACGTCTCCTTCTTACTTTTGGGCTATTTTTATTAATAATGTTTTCAAACTTACCAGCTGACTGTATGCTTGTGTTTTTCTGCGCTTACGGTGATTATTGGTACTTACTTATTATTTCTCTGTGGTTGTTTAGGATGCACTGGTTTCTTAGTACGTTTATCCATTAATTTTTGCATTTCTTTTATAACTGTGCATTCTCTGTAATTGGCTGGATGGTTTGGTTTGTCAGTCTTAACACTCCATTGTTAGTCGTTTACTAGGACATTTGACATAGTGTGGTTTCTTAGCACATTTTTTACATGGATTGGACATACATTTTTTGTATGTCCATAACTTTAATTGGACTATTCTGGTTATTCTCATGTTTTCATCCCAGCAAGCGTTTTATAGCTTGTCTCATCTTGCATACTTACTTTAAAGATTCTATCTTGAATGACTGTAATCTGTGTGCTAGGAACTTTTGCTCACATCAGCATATAGTTCATTAAAATTACTAATGTTCTTCACTATGATAGGCGAAAGTACTTGTATTTGTTATGCTTTTGTATAAATGTATAAATTATACGTTCGTTGTTGTGGTGGTGTGTTCTGTCAGTTTTTTGTACCCTGTCTCATACGTTAACTCCTCTTCATCCGTATTGTATTCAAGTGTCACTTTATCTTCGTACATTTATGCATATTCTCAGTCTAAAGTCACCTAGCATATGGCCTCTTTTTTTTTCTGATTCCGCTCATTTCCAGTTAATATAAGCCGTTTATACATTTAGCGAACGGTGAAAATATATTAGTATTGAAAAGCGCTATAAAACAGCTTTTATACCACAAGATGGAATTCTGACGGAAAGTACTCAATGATATGCAAAAACTATAATCCATTTGTTTGCAATAATCATCAACTAATTAATTGATATAAAAACAATGATTAATTGTTAACTTCTTCTTCTTCATGTACCGTCTCCATTTCGGAGGTGGAATATCATCATTGCTATTTTAACTTTGGACGCTGCAGCCGTGAATAAGTCAGACGACGCCGACGTAACATTGAACCATTTTTGCAGGTTCCTAAGCCAGGATATTCTTCTCCTTCCAATCTTCTTCCCACAATTTTTCCCTGGATTATGAGGTGCAGAACCTTTTACTTCGAACCTCTCATGATGTGGCAGAGATATTGCAGTTTCCTTTTTTTACTTCTTGCACGATTTGCGTGTTCTTCTTCATTTTTCTCAAAACCTCCATTTTGGTTATATGTTCTGTTCATAATATTCTCAGCATCCTATGGTAGGCCCACATCTCAAAGGCTTCCAGGTTCCGCTCGCAATACATATTGAGGGTTCAACTCTCTACACCATACAAAAGGACAGGGAAAATGTAAAATTTGAACATCAGAGTTCTCTTCCAGCTTCTTGTAGATCATACGGTGGATGACTTTGAGAAAGATAGTGTGTGGCTCATTACTTGTCGTACGGTGGTCTTCACATTTTTTAGCGTTTTGCTTCTTAAGAATTGTTATAAACGTTGCTCGAGGCCATTCTTCTGGTATTGTTCCTGTTTCATAGAAGTTATTAAATAGGGACGTTACAACATCTAGAGACTCTCTGGTCATTGAAAAGGATCTTAATATAGTTTTCCCATAGATACATTGGGAATCACTTGATTCCCAATATTCAAGACAATGTTTCCCTCTTCATCTGTAAGAATGTATGTTTGTCTCCGAGCAGTTCCAGTAAGTTCTTTTATCTTTTTATGCACACTGTGGGAATCTCTGTAGATTTTCTATCTCGGGACATTTCTCCTTTATCCATCCTTTCTTTGCTTGGCGGCATTTATATTTGATGTCCTTCTGTACTTCTTTATACTTCTGCCTGTCTTTATTCTTCAGGTTTCTTCTTTCTTCT